CATTTTGCCCCCCCCCCCCTCCCCGCCCCTCAAAAAAAAAATTTTTTTTGCCCTAGTTTTATCAATCCTAAGCATTTTTGCCCATCCCCCACCAAAAAAAAAAATTGTCCATCCTAAAAAAGAAGCTAGATCCGCCCCTGATTGGGTTGCTTGTAGAGTTGAAGCCAAGTTGCTTATTACAGAGAAGATGACCTCAAATTCCGATATTCTATGAAATTAGGGAAGTCATCCAAGATAATTAAAAGAAAACTCAATACTCATAAATTTAGACTTAGGGATTCACCCTTAAATAATTTGAAGTCAATAAATTCATCGAATATTTAGAATTTGACCCTTATAATTTGCTATGCAACTAGCGTAGTTAAAATGCATAATGAATAGCTCTCAATAGGGGTGTCAATTTCGGGTCACGGGTCGGGTTCGGGTCGAACCCGAAACTGACCCGCACTATTAGGGTCAACCCGAACCCGACCCGTGACCCGACACTATTAGGGTCAACCCGACCCGTTTTTAAAAATGGGTCAGTTTTCCTGGCCCGAACCCGACCCGCTTCGGGTCCGGGTCAACCCGACCCGACCTGAATGACCCGTTTCTAACAAGAAAATGACTAATTTTCGGGTCAAAAACGGGTCAAACTCCTCTTTTCGGGTCAAAATCGAGTTGCCGGGTAAAAATCGGGTTTTCGGGTCAAACTCGGGTCACTTTCGGGTCAATTTCGGGTCAAAGGGTTAACACGAACCCGACCCAATTTTTGAAACGGGTCGAAATGCTGAACCCGAACCCGACCTTTTTCGGGTTCGGGTTGACCCTTACCCGAAATTTTCGGTTCGGGTCGGGTTTTCGGGTCGTGTCAAATATTGACACCCCTAGCTCTCAATAAATCGCAAATGTATAAAATTTGTTGATTGAAAACACAACACTGACAAAATAATAGTTCTTACACACTTGTGGAAGTAATGACATGTTCTATGTCTTAATTGACATTTAATTTTTCAACTTAAAGTAGTCAACCAAGCTTCAAATCATGAAGATTGACATATCAAAAACTTGGATCAAAATCAAGGAAATATATTTCCTAAATGCATATCTATCGAGTTAACTATGAGATTAACAAACATAAATATGCAACTAATGTCATTACTAGTTGGAGGACAAGTATATAAGTATGGGATTACTCCATCTAAGGGAGTTGAGCCCTTCAAGAAGTTGACTAATCTATACTTAACAAAATAAATTTTCATAAAACTTCAAGAATGAGTTTCATTTTAAGAAAAAAAAAAAAACGATCTTCAATAATTTTGACTTAAGAAAAATGTTAAATTCAGCAAGAAATTGACCTACTAGTGCCAAAGACCGGCACTCACTCATTTTTATGGAGATCATTCATTCTCAACACATCTAAGGAAATATGTTGAGGCAACTAAGTACATTTGACAAATATATTGGCTAAGCACCTAAGGATAAATAAGCATATCTATAACAAATATAGTTCTTCTTGGAGAATTGATCAAGATGAACCCTAGTGCTTCTCACCCCTTCTTAGCAAAGCGCGAGAGAATGCTTCCAACCTTTCATGGCAAATCATCCGAGACGAACAAATCACTTATTGGAATACCCGAGAACCATCCAAGATCTCTCAACCAACTACCTAAAACATGTTTAACTCATTGTTAATGTGTTTCAACCTAATCAACCCTCTCGATAAAGGCACCAAAACTTACTCAACACACTTAAGCTGACTCATTCTCTCATACTTGTCCTAATAAAGTGCCCAAGGTCAACTCTCTACTTTCTTATGTTTGAGATTGACTAAGACTATTATGTGAAATCCAAATCAACTTGCTTACCTCAGGGAGAGTATGTAACCAAGTTTCCCCAACATAGGCCTTGTTTGTGATAGTCATTCTCGAGACCTTTCAGTTCATCCAACTCCTACTCATCTTTGCCCATACTCAGGCTTATTAGAGACATGCCCAACCATTTCTCAAGGCTCATTTAGCATTGATGTACCAATGCATAAGAACAAATACCTTAGACTTTTCGTATTTGAAATCTATCCAACCTAAACTTAAGACCCGTTTGACACTGCTCAACCAATGCTTAAGGATGAACACTTGAAACTTAACTCGAATGTTGACTAAATCGAGCCAAATGTGAAGTAAGTTTTTATTTAAGAAAAATATTAAAAAAATCTAGGTATTTCAAAATAAATGGCAAAGTTGCTACATGAAACTACAATCACACATCTTCATAGAGAGGTGAGTTTATTTTCTAACTAGCACCCACATCATGTTATTTTTCCACGTGCCACTTTGTAGTGTTAATGAGAGTCATAATTGTGTAATTGGTCTTATACTATAACATGAAGCCATATTGAACTCAAACCAATGGTGTGTTGTTCATAATATTAGCTCACATTGAAGATGTCATCCCGCTAACACATGTGTGCTTACATTTCTGCAAATTAGTTGTCCTACAACCCTCCTCGATCTTTATGCAACAAATATCATTCATGCTTGCTTCCTAAAGAGTTCGCAATAATTATAGTTTAGTGATAAAAAATAAAATTGTACTATTGCTAGTGTGTATAATCCCTCTATCTTATATCTCTTTCTAGCGAAAGAGAAAAGCTTGCTTGAAGGTTACATGGAATCCTAATTCATCTACCATGTGCATTTGCATGGCTTCTTTTGGCCTATGAGCACAAAGATAAGCCTTAACACTTATCATATCAAACAATAACATTGGTAGCTACACTTGCAAGTTCCCATAAGAGATTTCCCTCATCCAAAGCATATAAGATGTTGTGGCACCCAAAATCTCAATTTAAAAAGAATTTTATATTTATCTTTTTAGAATAACAACCATAAGTCCATAACTATCTAATTTCTTTCAATGATATAAATATCAACAAAAATAATTGTATATATCAAAATATCAATATACATATATATTCATTACTCAAAAAATCATATACAATACTCATACAAATACAACAATCTATCTTCTCACTCCTTAATACAAAATAATAACCAAAAGACAAGAAAACCTGAAGACTCCTGTATCTAATCGATCTCACACTCCTGATCTCCTTACTTGACCTGAAATCATTAAGTCATATATAATGAGCTTAAAAATTTGATAGGTAACTAAAATCTTACTACTGCACTCAAAGCACGTAAAAGAAATAGTATGCACGCCATTATTCAATTCATAATAGCAACAATCAATATGATCATGAATATATATAGAAATGATAATACAAGAACAATAAAGCCTACAAAACAATAAACATGTCCAATGCAAAGGCCAATAAAATAGTGCAATATGAAAATAATGAAACATGTAAACTAGTATGGATGTCAAAATAATAAAGCAATAAATATCATTTTTATAAATGGTATATCATAGCAGTGCTATCAAATCAATAAAGAAATTATATAAATCGATAAAATTGAAGTCTCTATGAAGATTCTCGAAATCAGTAATAATGAATTACTATCAAATTCGTATACACATGATTTTTAATTATTTTATATTAATATTAAATCAATATCTTATATTGCATGCCCAATAGCAGTAATCATGTGCTTAATAATAGTAAGCCTGTAAACAATAAATCAATAGCAGTAACAATAATAATAAATTAGTAGTAGTAGTAAACTAGCAACAATAATATTAAAATAGTATGGTAACATAAACCAGTACAGTGACAGTAAATTAGTATAATGACTGCATCCAAATAATAACACAAAACGAGTAAAATGCTCTGGCTTGCACGGTGCTTTTCTAGTACTCAACAATTCAATAATCGTTGACTCAATAAATAGAGTCATCACTAGGCTATTGGCATAATAATCATCTTCTTATAACTCATAATCAATAAATAACATAAACCAGTTAAGGAAAAAATGAAACCACATTATTTAAAGAAAGCTCATTGGCATACTATCATGTACAGGTCAATTAGCATCTAGCCTATGCTAGTAAATAATCATACTTTTTTTATTTTCACACATATTATTACAACAATAATAAAAATCAACTATTATGTAATCACATGCCCATACTCATTCACAATGCTTATATTAATAGTATGCTTGCATTAAAATGCCAAAATTAGTATTCAGCATAAATAGTACAAAACATAATAATTATCATTTTACCCAATGAAATTACAAAATCAATAAGTCAAAATATACTAAATAATTAATAATATGATATACAAAATGTTATGCAATAGAAGTTTACTAAATCTAGGGAAAATATAAAAAAATTATTTTTGGGAGAAATCAAACGATCGAAATAAAAATCTTTGAAAATAAAAATATTATAAAAATTGCCTACAATGATCTTAGCATTCATAAAAATAGTGAAGCAAATTAGCAACTGAAATTTGGACATCTCTCTCCTCTCTTCTATCTGAGGAATTATTAGGTACGGAGTGCGGACGGGAGAACCGTTCGCACATGTTTTTTATATTTATTTTTAATCATATTTTTATATTTATCAAATTTTCAAATTAGACCTACATATAATTTTTTAACAAAAATAAATCTTACTCGATAAATTAATTTGAAATATACATATGCATTTAATAAACTAAATATTTATTAAATAAAATATAGATTATATTAGAACACATAAACAGGAATAACCTAATTTACATTATTAAAATGAATAACCTATTTAAATAAATTAATTATGTAAACATATTTTAAGTTCTAAAAAATAATGCATTTATAAATTATAAATTCTCAATTAATAATAATAAAAATCCACGCTTAATAATCTAGAATTCATAACCTAATTTTTGGAAATTTTTCCCAAAAAGCATTGGTGAATAGTGTGATGTCACGCTAGGAAAATGGGTCGGGTTTCAGTTAGATTTTTCGAACCCGTTTATTGAATTGGTCGGATTTGGGTTGACCCGCGGACTTTTTTTTGACCCATAAAGTGACACATTTAATATTTATTTCTTAAATTTTTTTACTTATGTTCATAATCTTTTTATTTGTTATTAAATGTCATAAGTTTTATAATAAAAAAGTTCTACTTTTTTAATCAAAATAGATTAACGGATTATATTTGAGTCATTTGAGTTACTAGTGAATCCGATTAGAGTTGATACTTTTAACTCATTTATTAAATATTTCAAATTCAAATTAAATTGATTCGATCAATTCCAGATAGGACCCCAGCTTTTCCGTCCACCACACCTACGGTAAATTCCGCTCCCAATTAAACCACAACGGCCAAATCCAATCAATCGAACGGCTATGACGCATAATAATCCACCAAAATTACACCTTATCCAACGGCCAATAATCATCCATCGCTCCCGTCTTATTTGAAATCCTTTTCGAATTCGGGCGAAGCCGAAATTTCCAAAAATACCAACCCAAGCTCATACCCGCTTCTCCCTCTTCACTATTCTCTCTCTCTCTCTCTCTCTCTCAGCTAGTGCAGAACCCTAGATTTTAGAGAGAGAGAAGCTGCATCCCGACGGAGAAGCAAGGAAGATAATTGCGAGGTTGTGCCGAGAGGGAAAAGCGGCCATGGAAACCCTAATGGTGGACAGAGTGCAGAGCAGCCTGAGTCAATTCATGTGCCGGAACGCCATCTTCCTCTGCGAACGCCTCTGCGCGGAGTTTCCCACCGAGGTTGCTTTATCTCCTTGAGATCCCTCCTCTTGCCTTCTTACGAATGGCTCACTTGCTTCCTTGAGCGTCCTGCGCGGCGTTATATCTCATTCGATTGGCTGGTTATATTTGAGTTGTTCGTTTGGCTGTTTGAGAACCTCTTCCTTGTAGATTGCTGGCTCGTTGGGAAATAATGATTTTCATTTGCTAATTGAATATATTTTTGTTTAGCGACATAGCTAATGGGGATGATATGAAATTTTTTTTGTTGCATTCATTTTTTTTTCGTTTTTTATTTAGATTTTTTTAAATTTTAATGGTTCTGTTCTTTTTATGCAAGCTGTAGGGCTGCTGTTGTGGCTTTATGTTCTGGTATATGCTGAGAAAATTGAAGTTTAAACTTTTGAATGCAGCTGAACTTGCAATTGATGGCAACTTGTTATCTGAGGAACAGCCAGCCTTATTGTGCTTACCATGTTCTTAAAGGTAGGCGCACAATTTATTTGAAATTAACTTTTTTTTTAGTTCTTGTGATACTTTTGTCATTACGTTTGAATGTTTATGTTGCATTGGCAGATTGCTTACATCCTCTTTTCCATTGCCTCTCTTATCATCATCTTCTTGATCTTAATCTTGTGTTAGTCTTGAGTAACCATACAAATCCTAAGATCTTCTTTGTTTCCAACATTTTTAGTGCGTTGAGCATGAATTCTTTGCCTATGTGAAGAACATGACTCAGATGGGTCAAGATAAAGGCCAAGTCTTGGCTATTGAGGGACAATCCTTGCAAGAATAACACCGATCACCGTATATCATGAACCATCTATGCCAAATAGAGTGATTTGGTATTTTGGTTAGATGGTATAGACATAATGGCATCCCCTCATAATGCCAGTGGTTTAGCATGTTTCAACCCTAATGCAATGAGCCAATGACCTTCTCCAACCCCCACCCCAAAGCTTGTGCAAAGCCACAAATGTCTCCCCTTGTCATTGTGCACACATTCACTCTGTAAAGAATATGGAGAGATAGCTTGTTTCACTTGGTGAACAACAATATGATGGCGTCCACCATCTTCAATCTTAAGAACATGACAGAATCACTTCTTTGCATGCTTAAGAGGCCTTAGTTGGAGAGCATCGAGACAACAGCATGCAATGGACTATTTGTTGAATCGATGCTATCAAGTCCCTTGAAAATGTTTTCAATGCTATTTAGGTTTGCACTTTGCAACAACATTAAGTTATTTAGTTTTGCGATTGTACTAAATGAAATTGAGTCGGAACTTGCTTAGCTCTAGCTCATTTGATAAACCCATATTTGAGCCTGACTCGTGCTCAATTCAAGTGTGATGCAATCAAAAATTTGGGAAGGGCCCCAAATTTTTGAATACAAAAAGAAGATTATTCCTATAACTTAGAAGATACACAAAAGAACACAAAATAGACAAATAAACAAGAAAAAAAAAAACAACTTCACTTTAATATATATAAAGACTTACAAACTTACAAACGACAAAATAAAGACACTACGACTTTCCTAAAACTGCTTTTCATTCCTTGAGAAGAAAGATACAGGTGAAGTGGACCTTGCAGATAGAAGGAGATTAGTAGCCGAGACGAAACAGGAATAACTCGCAAGTTATCCTAGAGGAGAATAAGAAGAGGTGAAGGACATAGCTCGCAAGCTATTCCGAAGAAAGAAGAAAAACCTCACAGGTTTTTGACTCCAAAAATATCATCATAACATTCTTTCTCAACATAAAACATCTCCTATTTATAAGACCAAAGAGGGTAGCCAAACAGCCCTATAAAACCACTAATTAATCTCATTAAAATAGGGAAATAGAAGGTCATAAGTCACCAAATAGAAGACCAAAAAATAGCAGGAATTCTGCACAAAAAACAGAGAGGCCGTCACCGAAATCCCCACCCAACATCCACCAAACGGCATTAAATAAACCTATTAGATTTATGGAAATGAAAGGCCAACAGTCATAACATATCAACCCCCCCAAACGGTACAGCAAAACAGAGAAGAAAAGCCATAGGAACCAAGCAGCAGCCACGGGAACCCAAGGGGCAAGGCACGGGAAAAACAGCCAGCACAGAGAATCAAGCAGCCAGCCACGGGAAGCCAAGGGGCAAGGCACGGAAAACAGCCAGCACAGAGAATCAAGCAGCCATCCACGAAAACCCAAGGGGCAAGGCACGGAAAAACAACCATCACAGGAAAATGAGAAGACAAAGGGGAGGAGAAGATACAAAGTCCACTACAAAATGAATTCAAGACTAATAACAAACCTTTATGAATTAATGAGCTAGGAAGTGCAATTAATCCCCAATCATTGAGCTAAAACTTTAGCTCAAGCATTTATGAGCTAGCACCAAGTAAAATTCATAATTTTGAGCTCAAAACCAAGTAGCTAAAGGCCAAAATCGAGAGCACCAGCAACCCAAGGAAAAACAAAAAAGAAAAATTTTTTTTTGTTTTTCACCCCCCCCCCCCCCCCCCCCCCCCTGCATGCATCAAAGTGTATGCAATAGTGTTTGAGTTTGGCTCATTTAAATCCTGGTTGTTTGAGATTAGTTTGAGCTTGATTAGAGTTTGATTAAAATTGTGATTATCAAGTAGCATGTTTGGACAAGTAAATTAGTCTTATCAAACCAATTAATAGGATGCACTATTGAGCTATTTGTTAGCTTACCAAATGAGCCTTATTAAGCCTATTGACGATCAAAACTATTGTGCATTTTGTTAGCTAATCAAATGAGTCTTATCAAGCATTTTAACAAGCAAAATGATCAAACAACTTATTAGCTAACTGAACGAGTCCTATCAAACAACATCTCGATTATTGAGTTCTAAATGAGCATATTATCAAGCTTTAATTGAGTATTTTAACGAGTCCGTTGATTAGTTTTATATGACATTATGCATGATCATAAATGAATCGAGTACTTAAATGCTCAAACTTATTTATTTAGTTAATTAAATGATCATGAATGAGCTTTAACTAAACCGAGTCTTGAGTAGTTTATTGAGTGTGTTGGTTCATTTTTGTGGCCCTAATTCTATTCTGTGTTTGTTCACATGGTTGCCCCATGGAAGTGTTTGTTCACATGGTTGCCCCATGGAAGCATCGATTCCTTTGTCAATTTTTGCCATTAACTTGTTACACATTTTGCAAGCTCTCAACACCTGACGATGAGCTCATAGAATTTTCCCCACTTGTGGCATGACAAGATTGAGTCTCTTTGTCATTTTCCTTTGGTTCCAGAAGGAGAGGCTTGAGATCTACGGATTGCCAGCTAATAGTGGTAAAAAATTGTCTTCATGATTGTCCAAGAAATTGTCTTCATGATTCTATTGGATGGGAACTTCCATGCTTCACTCATCAAGATCCATTGATTATTTTTGTCCAAAAAAATTTAGAAGGTTAGTAAATATATAAATGTGGTGGGTTTTGCCTAAGGATCCCAACAATCTAAAGCAAAGAGGTTGCATTTCTAGATGATTTTCATAGAGAAGCTTCAAGAAGCTGGGCATGATTTTAGCCTCCTTATCAAACTTCTCTTCTAAAAGATAAGTAAAATCATCCTTTATGCTAAATATTGCAATTACACTACTCTTGTTCAACCTTAAAGTCTATTAATGAGGCATTTGACTAGACTCGAGACTAGAGTATTGCTAAGACCAACCATCATATTAAGAATTGTTGTATGCTAACAACTTGTGAGTAGGAAAGTTGATTCCTTCTCCCCAACCTTGATTGGAAGTTGGAACCTTGATAAGGAAGAGACCATTAATTCCAAACTTGTGCAAGTGTTAACAATGCTTCTCAAAATTGGTGCCATTTTGGGTGCTAGGGAAAGATAAGTGGCCAGTAGAGCCAACCTGTAAATGCTCTAGTTGGGGAAATCTTTTTGATGTATGTTGCCACTTTGATCCTTTAATCATTTGATCATCTTCTGTGATGATGATCTAACATTTAGTGGTAAACCTTACAATGACCTTACTATGGTAAGGCTACTCATCTCTAACCAGCATATATGATGAATTTTGATAAATATTGGATGTTTAGTTTAGTTTATTTTCTAACAAACCTTTGAGATGGGGAACATTGAAGACGATTTTAAGACCCATGAGCAGTCCTTCACATAGCTTTATTGGAGAACAACATGGATTGGCAAAGGTTTTTTCATTTTGATTCCTAAGGGGTGATGATTGGTTGATGCAGACTTTCATGGAAGTCTTCCTTTTCATTTGACCACCATCTTGTTTTGAGATATCTTTGATTTATCATTATTTAATTCCTTTCGTGCAGTTGTGTAGAATTTTCACCTAACAATAAAATACTTGGTGTCTTGAGCAATCAAAATCTATGATGACCTCATCCAACTCCTGTGCATGATATTTGAGGGTTGTTCAATCTTGATGTCCCATGGCCCTCCAATTTGGTCCCAAGAAGGAAGGAGGCAAGGGCATGGCATAGGATAATAAATGGAATCAACTTCATAGTTTTTTTTAATGAAGTCAGTGAATCTCATTTTGGAGTAATTTTATAATTTATTTCTATTTCATTCTTGTATCTTTGTCATTGAGATTTGAGTCAACCCAAATGTGTTTTCTCATTTTTTTTGTTCAGTCAAAAGTAAATAAAGTTTTTCTTAATGGAATAAAGGCATATTTGTACATTTTTTGAATGGGTAATATTTCACCCAACATTCTAACCTATAAATATGCCATGGTTTATTGCCCTCAATTGTGTTTTAGGGCATCACTAGTTGTGTCTTGGTCATCACCAAACTTTTCTATGGCACACTCAATTGTGTCTAGAACATCACCCATAATTGATATTGAAAAAATAAACATGAACGTGGTCAAAAGTAAGAAAGGGTTAACTAGGATTTTAGAGAATTCTTGCAAGAATAACAAAGTTATCTCCTTAAGCATTGAGTGCTTCTTGAAATATTGGAGACCAAATCAGGCACCTAAACTTTTGCAAGGGCCAACAACATTCAGCTACTATCCTTGCTAATCAGATAATAAAATTACTGTTTGTTAGCTGAGTTGGCACCTAATGCTTCTAAACAATGTAAATGATAGGAGTTTTCAGATTTTTAGCACGTTCTTGTGTAACATGTCTAGGAGTATGACATTGGAAGGAAATGGGCAATTTGATATTTAGTTTTCTCAGAGGTATAAAACCAACAACCATGTAACTATAAAGGCTAAACAACATCACACTTAATTGATGCAGTAAATTAAAATCAACTGTGGTCAAAAGTAAGAAAGGGTTAGCTAGGATTTTAGATATCTCTTGCATCAATAACAAAGGTCTTCTCCTTAAGCATTGAGTTCTCCTTCAAAACATTGGAGGCCCCAAATTGGTTGCATAAACTATTGCAAGGTCCAATGACGTTCTCTTGCCATCCTTGCTGATTAGATAATAAAATCACTATTTATTAACTTAGTTGGCACCTAATGCTTCTACAAAACATAGATGGCTGGAGCTTCTGATTTTTAGCATGTTCTTGCGTAACATGTCTAGGGCCTAGGGGTATGACATTGGAAGGATGATGAACAAGTTGACAATTAGTTTTCTCAGTGGGATATAATAAACAACCATATAATTATAAAGGTTATAAGGAGGATGGAGATGGAAGTCGCTTGTCAATAATTTGATGGCTTGCATGTCACATCTTTTGTACCCATGGTGTTAGTGGAATCTCAATTGGTACATGCGGTTTGTTCATCTTTTAACATAGGTTATAACTTCCTATTTAATTTTTAGGATTTGATTTGAGTCCATTGGTTCTACTATTCTACTCTTTCAAGGAGTTTTATTAGACTCATTAGTGTTGAGATAAGTTGCATGCTAAGATCTTAGCTCTTCCTCTTGAATGAACATGGTCCAATTGGGCCCGAGAGCTTCACATGGAGAATCTCTTTGGCGTTCGTTGTAGCAAGATCGCAAGTTGTTTTAATTGATAGTTATTTGAAATGAAATCATAATTAGCTTGGTTGCGCTGAGTACTAGTACTACTAGGTAGTAGGACTGTAGTAAATCTTATAAGTAAATACCCCCAGCTCAGGGACCAAGGATTGAAACTTGATTTGCAAATTTCTACTTGAATATTCAATATTGTAAGCAAGTTCTAACTATCATAAACAATCTGGGTATCTTGTCGTCCAACGTCAAGTTTCTCCACACTCTCTTCTTCTCTCTCGATCTTTGCAACATTGCTTTGGAATCTTCATATTAATAAATTCTCTCATTCTCCTCCTCATCCCCATAGTCTCTTCTTGTTCTTGTGCAATCTGAAGGAATCAAACAACTGTAATTCTTTGAGCTTGATTGGGCTCTAACATATTCTAAACCGTTGTAACCTCTTGTACGTTGGTATGCTGGAGATGAAGTCAAAATATAATACTCCTGAACTATTCAAATGATGCCATTTAAAAGATACGATCTAGGACTCATATGCCGCTCATATGAAGATGTTTTTTTTTTCTTCAAGTTGGTCATACTTTATCCTTTGTGCATTTGTTATGTAAACTTTACTTTGCTGTAAAATGGAACTGATGGAAACCTTCTTTCTGCGGTATTTGTGTGAAGGGAAACAGATGTCTCTATCACGCTATTTGTTTGCACTATCATGCTTCCAGATGAATCTCCTGAGGGAAGCGGAAGCTGCCCTGTGCCCAGCCAACGAACCAAACTCCGAGGTAATGTGGTTTTTTTCCACTGTAGAAGTTGTCCTCTAATTTACTGAGTCTGCTCCATAGCGTTTGTCTAACAAATCACGTTTAGTATTCAATGCCAGTTATTGAAACATTAAGAACTTGCTGACTGTCCCAGTAGACATGCCAAGCTGCAACAGAAAAATTAAATCAAATTACATTTAAAAATTCATGCCACTCAAAGTTCTTTCCATAAAGTTCAATGTTTTTTTTAATTGAAGAAATCGAGCTATATTTAAAGACATCACATGATGTAGTTTTTACTTTCCTTGAGTTTATTCCATTTTGATTCCGTTTTGTTTCTGCAATGCATGATAATTGAACACATTCTTTATTCCATCGAGATCATTTTTTATGAAAGAAACAATTCTTGCTAGTCCTTTTTTTTTTGCAACGTTCAACCTTTTTTTTTGGTTGCTTAAGGAACTTACTGTATAGTAGAGGTACTGCATGTTGAACAAGAGAATCCCCTGATCTGTTTTTGCTTCATTTGACTTGCTTTCTGTTCCTAGATATGAAATGTTGAATTCTGAAAATTGGTGAAGTTGCGTACAAAGCAGACCTTGATAAATGAATAAATATCGATGCGTTGGATCTTGATGAATGAACAAGTGAAAATTTATGGTTCTTATATATTTACTACTTTGTTACTTACAGAGAAGTTAGCACATCATCGTTATCAAACATATCTAACAACTTGAAGTCAAGTTTATGAATTCTCAAGTTAGTACATCATCATTATCAAACCTATCTAACAACTTGAAGTCAAGTTTATGAATTCTCATTTCCCATTCTTTCATTTTGAGTGTAATAGCAGGTGTTAGAAATAAAAGGACAAAATAACAAAATCCACATTTTTCATGAAAATAACTCATATTTAGGTTCAAAAACATCCCATTACCCTTCCCTAAACTTATCTCAAAGAAATATTAAGTTTTCTCAAAATCCTAATTTTCTTTCCTTAGTGAAAGCTCAAGGAAAAAGAAAGGAAACACTTGCAAACAACTTACCTTAGCCTTCCCTTAGTTTTCCCTACAAGCTCCTCCACGAACTGCCGCCGGAAAACGCTCCCAAGCTCTCCCGTCGCCGCTCCTATCCGACGCCTTCTCCTCTCCGCTCGGTTTGGGCCGCAAGAAATAAATGGGGGACCGAAATGTTTCGATCCCCTAATAAGAGTGGAATGCTCTCTTATTAAGCCTATTTACCTAAAAGCCCTCACTTAAACTCTTCTCTATTCAAATGATACCAAGGGCGAAGTCGTCATTAAGAGTTTTCCGGAAATTTTAACTCCCAAAGTACTCAAAATTCGATATAGGTTTTATACATCATTTCACTCAGAATTTTGCGCTCTATATTATGAAATTTATTGCGTCAAATTCCGACGGCTTTGAAATTTTCACTTAAAACTCGTCGCGACGCATCGAAAAGCGTGTGGAGTCTAAAAGGACATTTTTGCGGATTTTACAGTCTCAATCGATAAGTTAGTCGTTGTAGGATGACAACTCCATGAACAAAATCTATCACATGCTGCATGCCCCTCTTAGGAGATAAGCAGACTAGTAAATTGGTAAGGAAAACATCTTGATAATGTTGTAATAAAGGATGAACCTTTTTTGGTATATGCTCATTTTACTGATTTTCTTCTAACACCAGGAGAGCATATGTGGATGGGGAGTCTTGCGTAGCTATCAAGAACATCGTTTTGGGGACTAAATCAATTCTAACTTCCTTTTTAATCTTATTGTTTAAAGGAATCAATACTATCTTATTGTTCTTATGCTCTAATGTATAAACATTCATGTAACTGTCAAGCATGGTGTGCCTATCGTATGCCATGGTTGATCTAATAGTAAATGTTAGGCATCCATTGGGATAATGTTGTATCAAATCTCCTCTAATATGTGAAAAGATTGGTGTAGCTCTTGTGGCAGATAAATTTTGAGAGAATCGCCTTAGATGGTTTGGTCACATAAAACATCGGCCTTCCGATGACTTGATTAGGAGAGTAAATGTATTAGATTTGACCTATGTTAAGAAATATAAAGGTAGACCTGAAAAGATTTGGTTAGAAAATATTAGAAATGATTTTTTTTATTAGATTTAAATAAGAATTTGACTCTTGATAGGATACAAGGGAGAAAAATGATTTATATAGCCAACCCCAAGTAGTAGGATAAAGGCTTCATATTGTTGTTGTTGTAGAGAATTGAACTAAACATCGTTTCAAAATTCTAATTTCATTCTTTTGTGCGAGTAAGGCTTTGGATACTTTTTTGTAGGAAGGTTTAACTTTTTCACTATCTTCGTAGCACCACATTTTCACAACTTCTCTTGTTAATAATGCAGTTGTAAAATTTTCCTTTTATGATGCACTTTGTATGCAAAATTTTGCGGCGAAGCCATTGCAGTTATTAGCCTATAGGCCTGCTCAATGCTTGTCGCATAATAAGTAGTTGTTACTCTTTGTTCTCGAATTCTTCTGGAACTTCTTCAACTAAAGATATTAGACGGCAATTGGTGCAATTTGAAGCAGCCCAATTTTTAAGCACCAAAATTATTTGATTAGTGGGGTTTTAATGTTTGTCGTGCTTGGTACTACTACTCGCAAGTTGAGATCTGTCAGAATGGACAATTTTAGATGGGACTTGCTATGATCTTTAACAAGTTACATTTTCAAATTTACTGGACTCTTTTCCCTGACTTGAAGAAAACATTTTAGTCAATTGTTATTGCCGTCCAACTCTTAGCTAGTTTGGTGACATCTGAAAACATCCAATATTATTTTAACCGCTCTGTATTAGCATTTAAGGGATGCAAGCCGTCAATGGAACATGAAATTGTATGTTCCTTGGCTCAATCACATCACATTTTAATATTAGTTGTTCAAATTCGGATACATACTCTTCTACAGATAAACCCTTTTTTGAATTCATATATCTCAGTCTATTGTGTGACATAGAATAGTCCATTTAAGTTAGAAGCAAATTTTCCTAAGCTTTGCAGATTTCCTATTTGGAAGGTCAAGAGAATCTCATTATCTGTCTTTAAGGCGGCCCATGAATTAATTGCAGGCCAGATTGAGGATGCTAATATTAGAAGACATGTTGAAGGATTTTTTTTTTTTTTTCATCTTTTGGAATTTTCATTTAATTCCTCCGTGCTAATGAAGAATTTATATGTGAGCGTATATTTTAAAAATCTTTGTATGGATTTTTTTTTTCAAATAGTCAGTTTTAATCAAATTTGAGACCTGTGAAGCATGCTGAGACCTTATATGTGCCTCTGTTTGCATATTTTTGTTGAAATTTTTTTTCACAGGTACTTTGGTACTTGTTCTTGTTTTTTATGAAGAGATACTAGTGCATGACCTACAATAATTATTCCTAATTTTTTCATGATTGTAATTACTCTTTGCAAATGAATAATGGAACTTTTTTCACCATTTATTCAGGTTCCAAATGGGGCAGCTGGTCACTATCTTCTTGGACTTATTTACAGGTTATTTTTTTGTTCAAACTCCATTGATAATGTAGAGATGATAACTTTTTTGGTTAGACGTGACGGTCATTGAAATGAGCTAGATATATAGCTTTTCTATCTTGGTTTACTAATATATATGGGAATCCATTAAACATGGACTAGATATGGGATAATGGATGTAATATGCTGAGCATCATATGCCCAATAGATTGCGTGAAAATCTGGACACCATTTTTGTTGGGATATGGCAAGACACATCATGCACATGAATTAATTCGGAAAAGATTAATTTGTTGGTCAAAACAGGTCCATCCTACAAAATTTCCTCTATCTACTTGCTCAGTTAGTGTTTCAACCATGAATGATCTGATAGAAGTATTATATGGCTATGCATGCATCATCTTATATCCTGTCAAGATTTTTTCCTCCAATGCTAGACTTATCTGATTTCATACTTGTGCATCGTACAAGCAGGGGTAGCCATCTCAAGTGGAAGTGGATAAAATATCACTTGTTGATTGATAAAAAATATCCTTTAGCTTGTCAAGTTTGTGCATTGGGTTACACTCTGGCAGCTTACAACAGCATTCGTGTTATTGTGTTGGCCATGTGATGTGGCCTGCTGAAGTACCTCACAGAGAGAGAGAGAGAGTAGTTGGGGTTTAGGAGGTATCGTTGATGGAGATGACCTTGTGCTAGAATTTGGCGTTATGTATTATTTGGTTTTGAGTGAAATACCATTTAGTTTAAGTTATTGATTTTTCATGGACAAATATTCCTTTGCATTCACCTGTATAGAAATGAATGATTATGTATTCATAAGCATGCAAATATTTTAATTTTATACTTCTTCTTTTGATACGTGCATTTACAATGCCTTAATTTTGATGCCATGCTACTTATTCAATTGTTTACCTGATGATTTTTTGTTACAAAGATGCCTAATCTTTGTCTACCCATACCCTTTTCCTTCTTACTTATCCTTTCTTAAATTAATTTTGATCCATCTTTTGTCTGTCAATTTACATGACATTGCTGTTATCCAAATTGCTTAGATACACAAGCAGAAGGGCATTTGCCATCGATCACTTTATGCAGGCGTTGGCTATAGATCCTCTTTTATGGACTGCTTATGAAGAGCTGTGTGTGCTAGGTCAGTGCTGGCATCTTTTTTGATGAATTATCTTAACAAATCATTTTTCTTGCATGTTTGAGCAGTTTAAAGTTCATATATTTTTGTGTGCAGATAATGATGAGTCATGTTGTGTATTTCTTGCTCTTGTTTTCTTGACATAATCTTTCCATCATAATGAATTGGCAAAGTGCATTATTATGTTGTTGAATGTGTCATCGATTGGTGCTCCCCCCTAATGCAGTTTATAGTGTATGAATCTGTAGGGAAATATTGTGAAATTTTTGAAGAGGCTGAGATAAATTATGGAAACTTGCTGTTTGATGTTGCTCAATTGGTTAAATATGCAAATGCGCATGTAATTTCTTTTTGTATTTTTGTTTTGTTTACAAAAATGGTTGTGCTGATTGAGATTTTTTAAAAAATAATCTTCAAGTTATGTTCTCATGGCTATCTTAGGAAGAAGTGAAACTCCTTGCATACTACCAGATAACTAACATAGTTAATGGTTGTCATTAGCTTGAAAACCCTGCTCAAATTATCATTTAATGTTCTGTCAGCTGTAATGGCAGTACATAAAAAAATTGTGATGTTAGTACTATTATGATATAAACAACACACCGTAATTGGAATGACTTTGGAAGGGTGCTTTTTATGAAGCTTATCTAGCTTTCCGTCACCAACTTCTTTATGATTCTTAAAAATATTGCTCTTTTGTTTATTTTGAAACAAATTTTTAGATTATGTTTGCTGGTTAATCTACTATAACTTCAAGCTAACCCATGTTCTGATCTGTTTATTGAGAAAAATAGTAGATGTTGGAAATTGTAATGCTGCAATTTTATATGTATGATTCAGATTGTCTGTGTGGTGATTTGCAGTAGCATTCCATCTCCTGCAAGATTTAATTACATGGATGTGGATATAAATTTTGGAGATAGCTGATTGTGGATGTCCTAGTAGTGCATGATTCTCTGCTTTGCATTCTCATAACTAAATTTTCCCCCCTCATCTATCCACTTGAACTCTAAATACTTTTCCCCAATAGAAAATCCTAAAATTACCTTTTATTTAGATATTTCAAGAGATTTCCTTTTAGAATTAAAGATGTAACGAAGTTGTGATCAAATAAAAATATTGAAAGTAGACTTTGTTTTGTAATTTGTCTGCTTTGTGATCGTATTTACCTTAACCAGCTCCAACAACAGTACTCACATAGTCACATGCCAGATGTATAGGGGCCAGATGAAATTTCGTAGCATTTTGTGCTTATTCTTAGATTTTCTGCTGCTAAATTAAACTCGATTGTGGGAATAGCGATTTAAATTAACTTGGTTGAACTTAAGCACCCAGTGGTTTGAATTAGCTTTACTCTCATTATTTGACACTTGACATTGCCGCAAATAGAGATTGCAAGCTTGATTTTGTCAACAAACTTACTTTCTCGTCTCAGGGAGATGGCAGTTCATGTGGTAGTGACATTTGAAAGTGATGTTACTTTCTGTGGTTGTTGAGGGTGTCATAGGATACAACAACATGAACAAATTAGATGTGCCCTAAGGATCGATACGCAGATGAGGATAAAAATCAACGTTTTGAAAACTGGATCGGACCGGCCGGTCCGACTGGTTCAATCATGAACCGGTCTGAAGGCCGGTCTGGTTCAGCCTTGAAAACCGGCTGTGCACCAAGCCAGCTAGAACCGGTTTGAACCACCGGTTCAACCGAAAACCTGTCCCGGTTTTTTAAAATCGGCCGGTCCAAATTTTTTTATTTAAATAATTAAATAAATTATTTAATATTAAATAAATGATAAATTTAATCAATTAATATAAATATTATATATTAAAACTCTTAAATGGACGATATATTAAGACTATGATTTTATTAGTATTTGCAACATTTTCACAACCACGGCTCCATATGAGCTCATATCATGTGTAAAGATAAAAAGCTATATAAATATGTTAAATACAAACAGTATCTTATTCTTTACATAACAATTTGCATCGAGATTATCATGACAAGTGATGTGGTGACTAAATCATACAAAACAAATAAGGAGCTTATGATTTGACATGTATAAACACTGAGTATCAAAGACAAAAACATCTTTTTTTAATGGTTGTGTATAAACTATTTCTATTTTTTAATTATTAAAAGCTACTAATTTAATTTTTTTTGTCAATGATATTGTGAAGTATTTTTTAGTTTGATACAATATTTTATTTTTTTATCATTTTTTTTATAAGTTAATGTGATTGATATATATTATAAAAAATGTTATATAATTATAATAATGAATAATTGAGTTTATTTTATTTTTGATTTATTTTGGGAAAGTATTTTACCCTTATTTAGTTAATAAATATTTTATTTTTTATTTAAATATTATAATTTATTTATATTTATAAAAAAAATAATTGTTTAATTAGTGGTGAAGTTTTATATGATATCATTTATTATCTAAGATAAGTAATCTAAATTAACAATAATTTATATTAAGTAGTATATGTTAGTTATATTTCATTATTATTTACATGTTTAGTAATTATTTATAAATATAGTTATTATTTATTACATTATCGATTGTCGAAAACGGTTCGATCGGGTTCCGAACCTCTCCTTCGTGATCCGGTATCCGTTGTCGTCTGTCCGGTTTTTCCATAACCTTGGATAAAAATGATTGGTAAATGTGAAAAAGCATTTAAATTTCATGACATTCCCGGCCTATGTTGAAATTCCCCAATGCATATATTGACAATATTCATTTCAATTTTTATGTCATAATTTTGCGTGGACTCAACTATGGATCATACTTTCTGTATGCTTATGTGGTGCGTGCTTGAGCACATTTATGTCTTCTATATGTGTGGATGTCTCTATGTTCGTGCACTTGTGCCTGCGTGAATGTGCTTATGCCCTGCTGTGCCCTAATTAGCAATTAAGTTGCTACATCTGACATTCAAGGTTAGTAGGGTGGCATTTGAGCTTTTTCTTTTTATTGGACATTTGCTAATATCATCTCATGAGCACATCAGGCATCCTTTAGTCAGCTAGGAAACTTGCTTTGCTCGCTTAGATTGCATGCAAACATTATGGAAGTATTTATGAGCTCATTATAGTTTTTTTCTACTTGTTTCTAGCGCATCCAGATTTAGAGTGTATTTAGGAAGTTACCAATGCGAGAGCAATTTTTTTCATCAAAAAAGGACGGGGCTTTGAAAGTGTTATTTTTTATATTATTTAACGCATGGATCTGTATCTCAGGTGCTGCGGAAGAGGCAAATGAATGCTTTAATGATGCAGTTGCTGTTCGAATTCAGCCACAGTATTTCTTTGAGTCAAGTTCTCAGAGCATGGATGGAGCTAGCGAGGATCATAGCATACCTTCTAGTAGGACAGTGGGCTCACAAGATAGTCCAAAGCAATCAAAGCAAACGCATGCTACTAACAATATCCCTTGTTATCCTCAGGGTGTAGTAACTACATCCGTGCAGTCAGCTAACTGCGTACCTTCTAATTTATCACTGTATAACACACCTCCACCATTAACACAGGTAGCATGAGTTCCTTCTATTACAATCTTTGATGTTTTCTCTAATCGCTGGTCAAACTTTACATAGATTAATTCATTATGTGATTTTCAATCAAAGTTTTGAAATTCTTCATTCTTGTCAACATTGAATTTCACGTAATTTAGTTCTCACTTACTGTAAATCAAACACTTATTCCCATGAAGCCCGACGAGAAACAATGGAGTGGTCTTAAATAATATTTTAACATAAGTTTTTTTCAAATCATTATGTTAAACCAAATGAAATTAGTTCCATGCTACCAACAAATACAGACTCACCCATACACATTCTACAATGTCTGCTGACAAGCTTTCTGCAGGCAATTTTCTTTCATTTTGAATGAGTTTTTATCCTTATCTTTGAATTTATTATATTTAAGAATGAGGATATAGATGTAACTATAACTTTTAGAGGACTAAGTAGAAAAATGTCTTAATAATAATATGTGATGATGGAGCATCTCTGAGACATAAAAGTTCAATAAACAATGCAATTAGGTTAACTTCACTATTTAGAGCTGAGTGGTGGGCAGTGAACAAGCCACATATAACCAATATGAGTGTGACAAAATGACAGTGTTTGTATGACTTTGTGGCAAAACTAGGAAGGTGTTATTTAAAAATGATTTTGTTAAAGCAGATGGTTTGAGTAGTTTAAGTGCCGGTAATAACTTCAGTGGTTTGGGCATGAATGACAAGATAGAAACTGCACCAATTGGAAGGAAATTAATTTTGACAAATTAAAAAGAAAAAGGGATGTATTGAAGGTAACATGAGTAAACATGAGTAATGGTTATACATAAAGATTTGTTCAAATTAGATTTAGCACTTCAAGCAACACTGGCAGGGACAAAATGCGGATTCATAAAACCTATCCCAAATAGTTGGGGTACAACAAGTGGTGGTATTGATGATGATGATTTGTATACTTCATCCTGCTTATCTCTTTCCATGCAGAAGAATTTGCATTTGTGTATCCTTGCTTTGTCTGAACCCAAATAAGTATATGCTTAAATAGCATGTTCATTCAAATATAGGTGGAATTTTTAACATGTTATACTGGTGTGACTTCTGATATGAAATCCCTCAATTTTGAAAGTATGTCCCGTGGAAAGAATTTTGTATGAATGACAAAAATAAAACTGTAAAAGTTTTGTTGTCTTTTGTATTAAGCATTTCTGTTGGAACTGTGACACATGCTGATTCTCGCTGCATTGTTCAACTAAACAGACTTTGGCCAGACAATTTTCTTTCTCGTCCCATCTAGACAAGGTTTCTGATTAACAGTAATTTTCTTTCCGTACATGCCCTTGTTTTTCCTGGTAAAATCACCAAAATTGTCTTTAATTCTGGGAATTTTTTTTGCCATTTCTGTCATGATAAAGCAAACTTAGAATGTTAAAGCTATTCTGCATGCTGTCACAATTTGATGCCTAATTTGGACCATATTTAGATAATGTCAGTAATGCTGAGCTGTATATATATATATATATTCTTCTACTTTATGGATCATAAGCTGCTGGATCCTGCTGTTCATTGTTTTTTTTCTTTACTTTTCAGCTATCTGGTATTGTTCCACCACCTGTATATAGAAATGCATACTTGAACGCGTTAGGTGGTGATGGTCCTTCCAAACCTAATGCTCATGCCACCATTATTCAGGCTCCAAGAAGAAAGTTCATGGATGAAGGGAAACTTAGAAAGGTTAGCTTGTTTTCTTTATCATCTTCTCTCCTTTTCGATTTCTTATTGCTGCATTTCCAATGAATTAATGATACAATATATACATAGAGATATAAATGCCTACAAAGCAACAGGGACAAATATTGAAAACCTAGGGCCTAAAATGCACTAGGCAACATGTCATATTGAGAATGTATAGCTTCATGCCTATGGCAATTGATTGTTTGATGCATATCAGCAGGTTAAGAAACTAAAGGTCATAGCGCGAGCATTAAATTGTCATGAGGAGCTTGGAAATTTTTAATTATTCTGACTTGAACAATGTTTAGAATAGTTGAAGTGACAAAGCTATCGGAAGATGGTTATCAGTATAAAGGATGAAGATAGAATCTAAATGAGACATGTATCCTTAAACGTGCCCTTTCTAATTCAAAAGAGGATGCCCAATAATGCTTTGACTTGAGGGTTGAGGCATTCCATGGGGACCATCCTTGGACTAGTAGATCTGGTTGGACACAAATTAACTTGCTTAGCTTGATCTGTTTTGATTAGGCTTTCATCCCATATTTTTAACTAAGGGCTGTAGCTACCAATGTTTAAAATTGCGTAATCGGGTATCGAGGCATTTTTCGTTTGTGAGGCGAGGCGTAAGCCTCAAGGCGTTTTGAGGGAGGAATATGGTCAGAGGGCCTTTACTTCTTGAAGCTAGACCATTCAATGTGATGAGGACATCGTCAGCAATGTCGACACATGTACCATTATGAGATGCTGGAGATCGACGACCACGATCATGAGCTGTATTTTTATCATTTTATGTAGTAGTTTATTTAATTTTATATTTTTCCTCTTTTGCCCTTATGGGTATTTAGTCACTATTGTAGCCCAAGGGGCATTTTAGTCTTTTATTTTCTTTGTTATTTTGGAGGCCTATATATGGCCCTTTTCTTATGCAATATTTAGTTTTTGGATGAATGAAAATTTGCCACTTATGTTCTCTTTGTGAGTTCACCCTCCTCGATCTCTTAGTGAGTTCGTAGGAGAACTAGATCTCTTTGTGAGTTCACCCTCCTCGATCTCTTTTGCCCTTTCTTTCCAAATTTGGAAAATTCCATATATGGAAATTTTTTTTATGAATTCAAATTTGAAATAATTTGATTTGGATTTAATTACAAATTTTCCTAGTCATCATCCTTGTTTGGAAACCCCCTCCCTCTTTCCCTAACCCCTTCTCCCTCTACTCATCCCGTCGCCCCCCTCTTTGGCTCCCCATTAAACATGTAAGCATGGTAACCTAGCTCTGATACCAAGATGATGTGAAACAAACCCGTTCAGGAGTTACTTTAAGAAAATTAAAGAGAGCAGATTTAATAAAATAATCCAAAATAAAATTATCACTTATAGCAAAAGATTGATCCTTGGAGTTCTCAGTTTTTAACTTGCTTAGGCAAAGAAGAGCGAAATCAATCAACCAAACAATTCAAGAAAATGCAAAGAATAATTGTACGCTACGACAATAAATAAGAGTCCACGATTTAATAATGAGAATTTTCACCTTTGGAGTCCATACGCTCAACTAGTCTAGGCTTTAGCGGAAGAAGAGTCTCCACATTAGAACTGAGGTCACTCCGAGGAAGAAGGAACCTAAGATCGTCGTTCTTGGATAGGTGGCCGGAGTGGTGGAGGATGATGGTCGTCCGATGATGATCCAACGTCCCTTTGATCTTTGCTCGTCGATCACATCAACTAATGTGTACTGGATACGATCGATTAATTCCTATCTAATTAATCCCTTATCTTCTCTGAAAACCGCTGGCCCCTCATGGGATTAATTGGAATTCTCAATTAATTTCCCTCCTTCTCTGTCTAAGTGAAATTCAAATTGAGGTTGATCATTAGCCTCTCAAACCTCCACCTCACCAAGCCGCCACCTTCCCATCATGCTACCTCAACTCCCGACAAGAATGCATGGCGGAACCCAAATGGAACTTTGGGTTTGTGCATGACGATCGAGATCAAGTTGACATCCTCCAATCACCGTTCTTTGACGTGGGCTTCGATTTCGACGACACTATTGGAAGTCATATATTATGATTAGTTTTAAAATTTTAAGTTTCGACTCTCCCCCTCTGTGTGTGTGCATGGTTACTCAATTACAATCACACTCTCTCAGACTCAAGAAAATAAAAAATAAAGATTTGCAGACTTTATTACATGAAATCCTAATTTACTGTCTTAAAATCTTCAACAGTCTAAAGTATGGTTTCCTTGAAATGTTAGTACACACAAACAACAAACAGAAAATGTCTAGTACATGCTTGGAGAAATAATAAAATTAACAATACAATAATATTTTGCTATCATCAAAAATCACAATCTCAATCTGAATTCCTGAGCTACAACAGCGAGTGCTCGTCCATGCTTGAAGCAATGTTCTATCTACTTCCCTATTTTAAAGTTGGGAGTCATCCTTGCCAATCTTTTTTCAGAGTTATGTTGATGCTTCCGGCATATTTATTTTTACCGCCCTGATATGATGTCACTTGTCATATTTTTGTGAAATTTAAACCCACATTTTTTACCCTGACTTTATTTGATTGAAAATTTAGGAGAATATATGAAGAAGTTTGTTTTATAAGATGTAGATTCATGATCCCTCAGTTTGCATTTCTTTTTGGTCAATTTTAAAGTATTGCAAAATATCCTTTTTTTTAGTTTTAAATGATATATTTAGCATTTTTGTTCCGGAATTATTCTGATATTCTGGATCCCTTATTATTGATTTTTTTTAGATTTCTCTGCCTAGATTCTCTTATTTCACCGCCCAACTTTTTTTTTCGGGTCATTAATTGATTGACCTTTTGGCTCATGGCTAAATATAGAACTTCACTTTCGCTTTTGAAATAAATGCCTCATCTCGGATTGTGCATTAGTGTACAATGCTATTATTATGGTAGTTTCCCAAAGCTGATTTATTTTCCAGTCATATAAATGGCTACCTTGTGTCTTTTTATCCTTCTTTACCACAATTTTCAAGCTACCTTTCTTCTTTGTGATAAACTTGAAGTTTTAATTTTTATATTTAGGTTTCAGGGAGGCTTTTCTCGGGTTCGGATTCTGGACCTAGAAGAAGTGCAAGACTTTCAGGAGATGCAATGGCTAATGTTAATCTCCATTCCTCACAAACTGGAGCAAATGGTACAAATTACTCATCCACAAAATTTCTAGGAGGATTCCCTTCATCTAAAATGGGCTCAACTGCCCTTCGTTCTGTTTCAAATCGGAAGGGCCAACAATTGTCTACTGAAAGTTTTGATGAAGGTGATGCAAAGTGCACGGTTCTGAAATCAATTTGTTGTTCAAGAGTCTGAAAAGAGGAATAAATTTTGATAACAGGATATCTGTATTAGTACTTTAAATCATAATGATTTAATATTTCTTTTTCATTTGTCTTCTGTGAAATTTTTTGGGTACATTATAAGGGTTGCATTTTGACCTAGAGGTGCTACTCATACAATAGCCTCTCTGCAATGCAAGCATAAGGCGATATATATATCAATGCTTATCTTGACTTACCTTGATGGGAGTCTCATGCAGCGGGCATGCTCTTTATAAAGTTTGATTTTTCCATATATTCCAACAATAATTTTGATGTAGAACAAAAGGAAGGCATAACCTATTTATCTGAAACAGTGACACATCGAGACTTCTCTTCATGTGCTTTAAACATAAAAAAATGATGCCTTGTATCTTGTTATAGGCTGTTGACTTCAAAACATTAATGGTAATATGCTATAAGCATTTGATGGTATGCCTAATTGTATCATAGTAGTTTAACTTTTCAATGTCTAATTTTATTTCGACTGCTGAATTATTGGGCACTTGAGATACTATGTAGATTTTGTTTTGGTTATTGGGATTAGAAAGCTAAGTGAATCTGAAGGTGCTTGATGTTAGCTCCCACAAGTAGACTTGTTTTAGGTTGAAACTCAACCTATGCTTTTTGGCTTATTTCTTGATAATTATTGCTGCCACTAGCATTAATTTCTTTATTGAATAAAAAGGGTGTGGTTTTATGAGCTTGAATATCCCTTTCTTAAAACAATATGATTATTTTTTAATCTTCATTTCAATTATTTACTATTTGTGCATTTGATGATAAATTAAGGAAAAATACAGTATATAACAATATTTTTTTTCATATGTAACATGATCAATATTTTTTTTAAGCATTCTTCTTCCTTTTGAGCTGAATTTCTTCAGTTCAGTATCCTCTAAAGGTCGAAGTATTTGATGGCCTACTATGTACCGTATGAAGTATTTGATAGCTTAGCACAGTTCATGATTTAATAAGCCGATATTTAATTTGCATTGGCATGACTAAATTTGTATATCTTCCATCATGTTTAAGCTTTCTCTGGTTGCACGACTTGTGATAGTGGTATATAACGCAACTTTTAATGCATGAACTTTTCTAATCAGAATATAACTGTGCATTATTATTAGTAGTTTCCTGATTCAGTTCAAAGGTTTTGATTAATTGGCAGTATTCCGTCGGTTTTTGATCTTTTGTTACAATTACTGTGTACAATAGATTCTTATCCCAATCAAGTTTTTCTTTCTGCATGATATATTATTAGACTTACCAGCTTTTTATGTAATTTAGGGAGAAGACAAGATACCTTTGATGTTCCATGGTCCCAGGCTTCTGCAGCAGCTTCATCTTCATTATCGGTGATCTCTGATGGTGGGAATACAGAGCAAGATAGAGGATATCCAGCTAATAGTGGAACTTCAGGTCATGAATCAGGAGTTATAAATGGTGCGAAGGAACTACTATTTCTCTTACGAATCCTTGGAGAAGGCTATAGGCTTTCTTCTCTATACAGGTGCCAGGTACTAAGATTTGAAGTGCTTGAAGTGGTAAAACATACCTACCCTTCATTGTCTAATTGTTGATTTACAAATTCACAGGATGCTTTAGAAATTTATCTTAAACTTCCTCAGCATCAGTATAATACCGGTTGGGTCTTATCCCAGGTATTTTCCATCTGGCTATTTCAGTTATGCTTTTTTTGGTCTACTTTATAAGTGCTTTGGATTCTCTTAACGTTCTATTACAGTTTATGAAAAATTTATAATAGTCTGCAAAGTTTCTTTGTCATCTTTGAAAAATTAAATTTGGGCTTTCTTTGTGGATAATGAAGCACATGCATGGACATAAGATATACATCATGCAACATGGATGCGTGTATACATCAATATTTTAGGACAAGGAAGTCACTTGATGTAGAACGGGAAAGGAGGATTGAATCCTAAGGGTCTTGAAGAGCAAATCGTCCCAAAAATCTGAAACAATTCCTTTCGGGAAATCTGAAATACTTCAGTTTTTTCTCACAAAATCTGAGAGGAATTTCAGCAGGTAATAAGCAGAGGAAGGGCACTATGAGGGGTCAGCGGTGTGGGCTCAAAATCAATAGTGAATTGGGGAAAGAGAGGAGCTATGAGAGGGAGAGGAGGGAGACGGGTGGGAGAGAGAGGGGGCTGGTGGGATTGAGAAGGAAGTGGGGAATTTTATTTCCAAATTCCAATTCTGGTTTTAGGAAATAAATTAGAGCTTGGGAAAATTTCGGTTATGAGGAGATTTAGGGAGTTTGAAATATTTCCAAAAGAAAGAATTAACTTAAGGAAATAATTCTAATTCCAGATTTCACGTGGAGGGATAGGGAATTAATTTGTGCTTTAATTCCATAGGGAGAGGTTTTAATTTGAGAAAGAAATCAAGAAGTGGGGTCATGAGGGGGTTCGGCCAAGCATGGGCAAGGGGGAGTAATTTGGGAGAACAATTATGAATTACTAATTTAGGTTTTAGATTTAGGAAAGAATTAATTTAAATCCTCATGAATTTAAATTTCGAAATTAGATTTAAATCAATCACTTTCCTAAAATAGAATAGCTAATTTAGGAAATATTTTGAATTTCAATTTTAAACAATTTGAATTTCAAATTAAGTCCTAATATCATTCACCCCAAATTAGGAAATCCAAGGAGAGGAGAAAGGATGAGACCGGTGGCAAGGGAGCTAGGTCTAATTTAATTTGGAGGGATTAATGACTCATCTCCTTGCAATTCAAATTTGAATTTTGAATTGGAGAGTTAAAAAAAACCTTCCAAATATGGATCAAACCCGATTAGGAAAGATTTCAAATTTGAAATCCAAAATTATCATGGATTAAATTAGAGCTTGGGAAAATTCGGTAATGAGTGAGGATTTAGCGGAGTTTATGAAATATTCCAAAAGAAAGAATTAACTTAAGGAAATATTCTTAATTTCCAAGATTCACGTGGAGGGTAAGGGATTATTTGTGCTTATAATTCCATAGGGAGAGGTTTTAATTTGTAGAAGAAATCAAGAAGTGGGTCATGAGGGGGTTCTGGCTAAAGATGGGCAGGGGGAGTAACTTTGGGAGAACAATTATGAATTAACTAATTAGGTTTTAGATTTAGGAAAAGATTAATTTAAATCCTATGATTTAAATTTCGTTAGATTAAAATCAATCACTTTCCAAAAATAGATAAGCTAATTATTAGGAAATATTTTGAATTTCAATTTAAATCGATTTGAATTTCAAATTAAGTCTAATATCATTTCCAACCAACAAATTAGGAAATACCAAGGAGAGGAGAAAGGATGATGACCCGGTGGCAAGGAGCTAGGTCTAATTTAATTTGAGGGATTAGACTCATCTCCTTGCAATCAATTTGAATTTTGAATATGGAGAGTTAAAAAAACCTTCCAAATAATGGATTCAAACCACGATTAGGTATAAGATTTCAATTTGAATCCAAATTTATCATGGAGTTTTCCCTCTCTCGATTCTTGCCAACCCCAAATTGGAAGGGGGCATAAGGCCATGGGAGAGGAGGGGGTGAGTGCCTTTGCGGGCCTATGGGAGCTCTAGCGGCGATTTTTGAGGCTTTTCTGGTGAGGTGGCGGGCGGCTTAGGGTGGAAATGGAGAGCCGACGATGGTGGCGAGGTAGAAGATAAGACGACGGCTTAGGAACAATAAGGGACAAAACAAAAAAAAACAAAAGAAAGAAGATATAAACCAGCGAGCCTTGGACTCTTCCGAAGACTGACGGGTGATATCTTGCCCTTCTCCAAGGGACTCAAGTTCACGAGCCGAAACTCATCATGCGGCTGTGAAAACTCCGAATCTTTCCCTAGGGAAATCCTCAAACTATCCTTCCTCTCCAAAGAACACAAGTGTGAACACAATTTTAATATCAATCATCCCTCTATACAATAGCTTAAAGGCCCTATATATAGGCCCAACATTAAGAAAACTAAAAATC